ACATATTTTATGGATATTTCATATTATATATAAAACTTTACAACGAACCCAAACAGTGAACTCAGTAACTGCAAGAGGTTTGTGTAAAATAAGGGATTTGGATGAATTTAGGGAACTTTTTTTTTACACAATTATTTGTCTGTATTAAATATTTTTTTATATTTGTTTTACAATCATACAGACTTGTTGGGCTTCTTTTTTTTTTTTTTTTGACAAATTCAGTGTTTTCTTGTCCCTGGTGCTTAATAATTGTTCTATTAGTCAATTTATTTTACTTTACATTTACTTTTCCTCACAGAAGTGAACCAAATGCTGAGATATCAGCCTACTTCTATCAAGTTTATTTGTGAAGCACTTTGTAACTGTGTGTTTTATAAAATGCTATATAAATAAAGCTTTACTTACTTATTAACCACATTATGACAATTACATTTTTACCCACACTCTGATAAACTCTACATCCACTGTACCTGTAAACTATTTATAGTTATTCTTAAACATAAATACCAACTTCATGCACATCAAGAAACCTGCAGATAAATATTTATATATTTACATATGGCACAAATGTTGTTGTTGTTTACATGTATATATACAGCTGTGCTCTATTAATGCAATTAATAATCAGACCTTAAATACACACACAGATAATACTTGCTAATATAATACATTCATTATTAGTTTAATTGTTTTATGTATAACTATATATATAATATAACTGTCTATTGTGTTGAGCTTGTTGTCCTGTTTATTTGTTTATTTGTGCACAAACCTGCCTAATGTCATTTATCCACTGTATAATAACAGAATGCCATATACAGTCCTTTTATTTCACTTTAATTTTATTTCACTTTTATTCTTATCTCTACTTTCTATATAAGAGTTTATTGTTTATCTTATATTGTATTTTTTTTTTAAATATATATATTATAAGTGTTCTGTAGGCTGCTGGAAATTCAATTTCCTTGAGGGAGTCATCCCAAAGTGATCAATAAAGAGATATTGATTGTGATACACAGTGAGATTTATGACCTGCTTACACCATAAATATCTTATTATTATTATTATTATTATTATTATATTATTATTATATTGTTATTATTATATTATTATTATATTATTATATTATTATTATTATTATATTGTTATTATTATATTATTATTATATTATTATTATTATATTATTATATTATATTATATTATTATTATATTGTTATTATTATTATTGTATTATTATTATATTATTATTATCATATTATTATCATTATATTATTATTATTATTATATTATTATTATATTATTATTATTATATTATATTATTATTATTATATTATTATTATTATATTATTATAATATTATTATTATCATATTATTATCTTATTATATTTTTATTATTATATTATATTATTATTATTATATTATTATTATCATATTGTTATTATTATATCATTATTATATTATTATATTATATTATATTATTATTTTATTATTATTATTACATTATTATTATCATATTATTATCATATTATTATTATTATATTATATTATTATTATTAAATTATATTATTATTATATTATTATTATATTATTATTATATTATTATAATAATATTATTATCATATTATTATTATTATATTATTATATTTTTATTATTATATTATATTATTATTATTATATTATTATTATTATTATTAAATTATTATTATTATTATTATATTATTATTATTATTATTATTATTATTATATTATATTATATTATATTATATTATATATTATTATTATTATTATTATTATTATATTATATTATATTATATTATATTATTATTATTATATTATTATTATTATTATTAAATTATTATTATTATTATTATTATATTATTATTATTATTATTATTATTATTATTATATTATATTATATTATATTATATTATATATTATTATCATTATTATATTATTATTATTATTATTATTATTATTATTATATTATATTATATTATATTATTATTATATTATGTTGTGTTTTTAGAGCCCTATCAGCTGTACAATAAACGATCTTTGTCCGAAAGGGAAAGGAAACGGCGACTTATCCCCCCCCTCCCCTCCCTCCCCCCCCCTCCCTCCTCCCCCCCTCCTCCCCTCCTCCCCTCCCTCCCCCCTCCCTCCCTCCCCCTCCCTCCTCCCCCCCCCTCCTCCCCCCTCCTCTCTCTCATCTTTAGCTGTAACGAGTGTTTGATCGATCGGAAGCTTTGAGACGATCCACGCGCCGCTCCTCTGTTTCCCAGGCTGTCTTCGGTTCCCGCGGTTCCCGTTCCCGCCTCGCGGACAGACAGCCGTTGGCCGCCCTCTCTCACGCGAGCGACATTTGGTGATAAATCCCCTCGCGCCAGATCCACCGAAGCCACAAAGTTGATAGCTAGCCTAGCCACCTAGCTAACTCCCTAGCTAACTAGCTTGCAGTGCTGGTTCAGAGAGAGAGAGAGGGGGGGGGGGAGCCCGTATTTACACAGGTTTCCTGTTTGTGTTGTTCTGGGGAGGGGGGGGGTCGTTATATCCCGTCACTTCGCCCGTTCAGACGGTATTTAACGGGACATTTTGGAGCCGTACGCCGGTTGTTTTCCCGCTAGCGGTCTCGAGTTAGCCTGCCAGCTAACACCCTGCGTATTTATCCGAGTGAAGGCCTCGGTCCTCCGCCAGCTGCTGCCGCTGCCACCGGGGGGAGGGGGTTGCACCGCCGCGCAGTCACAGGTGAGTCCGCTCCTAACATGTTTAATTACATTTATTACATTTATTGTGTGTTAAAGTGGAGCTAACGCAGCGCAGTGTGGAGGTAGCTCGGCGGCTAACTGGATGTTAGCTCGGTTTAAAAGCGAGCTTTGGTTGGAGGAGGAGGGGGGGGGGGGTCGCCATCTTTCATTGGAGGCTGCTAACGGCTGCTACTTTCTAACCCCGGACTCAACTTTTAATTACAATTATAAAACAATCTGTGTTCACATATCAGCTGTAATCCAGCCCTGTGCTTCCTCCTCCTCCTCCTCCTCTTCCTCCTCCTCCTCCTCTTCCTCCTCCTCCTCCTCCTGTGTGTTTCCCGGTGATGGAGGAGTGTCGCCGGGCACTGGCCCCCTCTGGTGTGTGTGTGTGTGTGTCTGCATTGCGTCTCTGGTGGAAGTGGGTTGTTAAAGTTGATCCAGACTCACGTTCATGTGATGTGTGTGTGTGTTGTGTGTGTGTGTGTGTGTGTGTGTGTGTGTGTGTGTGTTGTGTGTGTGTGTGTGTTGTGTGTGTGTGTGTGTGTTGTGTGTGTGTGTGTGTGTGTGTGTGTGTGTGTGTGTTGTGTGTGTCTCCTCCGGTGGGGTTTGAACCTGAATCACCTCTTGTGATCATGTAGAGGAACTTCTGTTTTGTATGATTGTGATTTAATTTCTGCCTCACTCGTTTAACTCTTACACTGTGAATAACATCATGGTGCTTGTGGGGTTTGGTATTTAAAGAGGAGGAAGAGGAGGAGGAAGAGGAGCAGCTTGTGTTTTGGTTCAGGCCTCGTCTAGACGTTGTGATTGACTCACTGCATCAGGAGAGGAAATGACATGTACTGTGACCGGGGTCAGGTCTTTTTATGGGATGATATCGGGTCAAACTGCGTCGCCAACGTCTGTCAGGAGTCTCGTGATCCCCCCCCCCTCGGCCCCTCGGCCCCCCATATATAAAGATACCAAGTTGTATTGTTCTGGAGAGGTAGATTGTGAAGAAGTGTTGACTCAAAGGGTTTTAAATTACAACGTGGTAGGCGTGTAATATATTGTTGCGTTCCCGGTTAAAGTCACAGATCTCTTAATTGTTGGTGTGTCGGGATCAAAAGAAAGAAAGAGTCTTGTTTTTAAGACGAGCAGTGTATGAAACTGTTGACTTGTAGCAGAAATGACGCAAAAACCACATTTACATTTATTTAGTGTGTCCCTTCAGCTTGGTATACATTTTTAATTTTTTTTAAAATTTGTTTTAAAACAACAACAAATGAAGTTAAATGTATATCTCAGTTGTCAAACAGGTTTTAAAATCCTACCGTTTTCAGAAGAAGACTTTATCACACAACAGCTGTTTTGATAGCTGGCTATAATTGATGAAGAGTTGTGTTTAGCCCCATTCATCCTAGGGCAACACACACACACACACACACACACACACACACACACACACACACACACAGCGGGTATGGGAATCAGTATGTGGATCAAAGGTCAACCAGCTTTACAGCCGGGCCATTCTTTTTCTGCTTTGTATGCAAACACAGCGAGGGCCCGTGTCAGAGACAGGCACCCAATTGTTGGGGCGGATTATCACTGCTTTACAAATGGCTCCAGTGAGGGGGGTGGGGGGTGGGGGGGGCAGAAAAAGGAGGTGTTTCCAGTGATGTTTGGACTCTGTGGGGTCCTCCTCCTCCTCCTCCTCCCTTTTCTTCCTCTCTGTGAATGTGTAACGTCGAGGTTGAGACGCAGTGGAAAGTGATTAACCGAGACTGAAACTCTGAAATAACGACGCTGAAAACTTCATCCGGAGCTGCAACGCTCGTTCGAAAAATAGGAGAATACAGAAATAAAAAACGCCACTGACGTCAGCGTGTCGGTCGATGGTCGGTTGCTGCCGAAGCAATTAACTGACTGACTGACAGAAAGTTAATGAAATTCAGTCAATGTGATTTCCAATTAAACCCGTTTTTCTTGCATCTGCACAGCCAACTTGTTGCCGGCTCCTCGCTACGGCTACAACTACATATTATGTTCTTGATTAATCGATCAGATACGAGCATCTGGTCCGATACTGCGCTCAGTTACTCGTAACTGTAATCAGAAAACTACTCCGATACCTCCCCTCAGCTAACCTCTCGTTAGTTGAGGCGGAAGAGGAGCGATGTCAGCAGTTTGGAGATATTTTAAGCAACTTTTACAACATTTTATAGTTTATAAGTAAAAACATGTTTTATTTTCATTAGATGTTCCTGTTACAAATTAAATGTTGTTGTAAAAGTTCATTAAAATATCTCCAAACTGCTGACGTCACTTCTCCTTAATACTACCTGCTCAGTTGTTAAAACTGTAATAATATTATTAATGACTTATAATAAGTATAAATGTACAATTATTCCCATTGCAAGCTTCCTGCCTCCAGTTGACATATTTAGATTCCTTGTTTTGTCTAACCAGCAATTCAAAAAGCTAAAAGTTACTCAAAATATTAGGAACAGTAATTATTCAAACTCTTTAAGCTGCAACCAGATCGTTTTTTTTGGCCTTTTTGCTTTAAAAAACCGACATAAATGATTAATTGATCATTAAAACTGGTGATGATTTTGTAAATCCCCCAAACAGTTGACTAATTGTTTCAACTCAACGTTTTACATCAATGTGATATCAAAGAGTAAATGATTAATTAATTGATTGAACAGAAAGTAAGCCATTATTTTCTTGCTTAATTGTTATTTTTGAATTTTACAACAAGATTTAACAAATCCTGGAGTTTGTTTTCTTGAATAATAACATGTGTAAATAGTCTCTTGGCTTTAAGAGAAGCTCCTTTACTGTAAACCAGTAAACAGTATCCTCAGGCGACAGGCAACGCAACATATTTGTGACGCATGGCGACACGAAGTCCAACTGAAAACGAGAGTTTAAACATATAAAAACGCGTTTGCCTTTTGAAGGAAAAATCAGTTAAAAGAAAAACTGTGTGACCTGAAGACTTTAGTTTCATTGAATACTTAAAGCAGAGTAAGTAGTTGAGGCTGTTTGTTCGGTGGTTCCCGTTTTATAGGTTTTATAATCTGTTAAACCTGTCTAACCAAATTTACAAGTTGGCCTTCAGCAGACGTCAAACTATTGATTCATTAAATGTATTTCCCTCCTCTCTCAGTCGAACGCATACCTACACATCTGTCTCTGGATAAGCCTGCCTCTTTCTCTTAATTCCTGTATCCCACAGGGACTGTATCTGTCCGCTGTATTGACTCAGAAATCTGATTTATAAAGTCATAACCTGCATTTTGAGCAGATATTGACCACTAGTTAATCGATCGTGTTGGTCTCAGATGGATTTTTTTCTAAAAATCATTTAAAAAAATCAGTATACTGGTCGCCTTATTGGAAATCTGTGAATTTTGTGAGTTTTCTAAATGAACAAATATTCTGGAAATAATCTATGTTATCTTGGAAAAAGATAAAATAGAGACGCTGACCACCGACCTGTAATGAACCTGTAAACTAGGCCTGTAAATGCTGTTTTTAAGCAATTACTGTCCTGTATTGTCAAGAAAAATTCCTGGAAAATGATTTCTTAACGAGAGTGGGAACCCTGTCTAGTATTGTTTGTTTATGTTTGTTTTCTCAGTTGTAACCTTTCTAACAATGGACATAAGAGTTTAGTTTTAATCCTCAACAATTGTAATTTTATGTCACAACAGGGTCCAGATCTTTTGTATTCAAACTGGGATTGAAAACAACTCACATAATTATTTATCTTTTATAAAAGGTAACTATCGGACACTGCACCCCCGGCCTTTTCCTCATCTCACACGTGTAACAAGCTGATATTGTGCCACAGCCATGTGATTAAAACATCCGTTCTTGAATCGAACTTGTTTGTCCCCTCTGCCCCCCTGTAGCTTAACTTGGTGACACAGAGACTTCTCCCTGAGGAGCCAAGAAGCAGACGGCTCATGACTTCTGACCAGGACACGAAAGTTGTAGCTGAACCACAGGTGCAGCAAGTACAAGAGGCAAAAGAAAACTCTCATTTGGTGAGTTTTTACATCCGCAGACACTAAAAATATCTTGTTTTTGTTGTTTTGAGTCCCCGAAAGGTTGTAAAGTTTGTTTTTTTTAGTTGTAGAAATGCATCTTTTTTTTTTTTTTTTTCTGAAAGAGACAAATGAAGTTGTCACACATAAGAATATTTATTATTATTATTATTATTATAGTGAATTATCTTCATGGAAATTGTACAAACTTTATTTTCAAATCACAAATAAATTAGATTATTAAATAATTGCCAAACAGTTACTATAATATTGGTGAATTAATATGGATATATCCTTTTTATCATGCTATATGTAATTGTGTGTATATATATATATATTATATATTATATTTTATATTTACTATATATTGTGATACATATTTTATATTTTCGGGAAAATGAATCAACCAACTCTTTATGGATAAACTAACCAGACAGGAATGTCGTCCTTTGGCAAATTACATTTAATTAAACTTTGATTAATTTTCTCTGTTAATTGTAATTTTAAAAATGACTTATTATTAAGCAACTATCAAATTAGTTGCTAATTGTCTGTAAATTAAATAATTGCTCCAAAATTAAATACCTTAAAAAAAAAATCAAGATTAGTTCACAAATTGTCCAAATATCCAATATAATCATAAAACTGCTCAGAGATTCCCCACAATAGTCTTATTCATCCAGAGTTTAAAGTGTGTGTATATATATTATGTTAAATAATGATCGCCCACCTCCGTACGCTGTCATGCAGCAGCAGTACGGTTAATTTTGGTTTAAAGACGAGTCGGCGGAGGCTTTTTTTCCCAGGTATTTCTGTGGTTACGTTGACGTCATTGATGCAGACTGAAACGTGAGATATTACCCACTGTTGTTTCTTGAACTCGAGTCATTGTGTGTTTTTTATTGCAGCTGTTTGCAGGATGGATGAGCGTCGCTGCATCAGAAGTTTAATGGGTTTTATGTGTCGTTGCATTGAGGTCGTAGGCGGGCAGTTGACGCTCTTTATCAAGACTACATTAAAGTAGTTGAGCAATGTTTGTCTGTGTGGCTTCAGATGTTTAGTGATGGATGTTTTACATGCAAATGTAAGCAAACTTTGCTTTAACTTATTACCTTTTTCCTATCTAACCAGGACCACAGTGGAAACAAGAATTTAACTTTTATTGTGTCTTAACCCATGATCATTTTAGTGTTTGCAGTGTCTGAATTTCACATTTTCAAATCTATCTATTCAAACCTGCTACCAATAACGCATCCATTTTGTTTATATTTTGCATGTTAGCAGGCGAACCTTCGTGAAATGGTTCAGTTTCAGTTCCCACAGCATACCAGGCATCAAATAGTGAAGTGTGCCCTTGGACGGTAGACGTAGCAGATATTAAGAAAGAGATTGTGCCAATCACTTTGCAGACTGGCTGATTTTTGTAGGGAGCATCATACACAGCCACTGCCTGCTTTTGACTGCCCTTGATTTCACACACTGATTATGTACAATGGAGAACGTCTCTGTGAAAGAAACACGAGGCAGAAAAAAAGAAGCAACTCTTGTAACTAAATAACCGTGACCTGTTTCTATTTCTCTCTTTTCATAAAGTCCGTCATAGTGGCACTATTGATCATTGGCGTGACATTTTGTTCCTTGTTGGAGCGTGAAGGGGCCGGGGCTGAAAATTGAGCGGTGCATCTTCGGTGCAGAGATTTGATCCTGATGGTTTCGTGGGTGGATGTGACGTCACTGACGATAGCGGTCGAACCGAGGCCTCGTCAGGACGAAGAATAACATTTAGTTACTATCGTCACACTGAGTTAGCCTGGGTGTGGATGTTGTTGGTCTTTCGTCGTGGTTTGTTTGTCCTGGAGTTGACTAGAGTTACATTATTTGTCAACTATTTTGATAATTAGTCGATCATTTTGTGTCCAAAGTTCTCAGATGTGAGTATTTCTTCAATGACGGTAAACGGAATATCTTTTGGTTTGTGGATAAAACAAGACATTGGACTTTGGGAAACAAATATTTTCTTCAAGCAGACATTAAACAGCTGTTGCTGTCTGCCTGAATCCATGTGAACGCAGCATAATCGTGTTTTATGCTCCTGTCCTCCTTTTTTAACTGAATCTGTATTGTGTGTGTTTGTTTTAGTCCTCTGATGTCCCTCATACTGAATTGTGGCCATTTTGTCACTCCTTTAAAGTAGTTTATGTTGAACCTGCAACTGATGATTATAATGTATATATTTTTTCTTAATAAATTGTTTAATTTATAGAGGTTTTTTTTACCTGTTACGAAGTTGATTTCTTCAAATTCAAGTCCAAATCACCCAGAATATTAAATTTACAATCATACAAAACAGAAAAAAGCAGCATTAATTGTCATTTTTGCTTAAAAACACAACTATTAATAACTTATTAAACTGTTGTCTACTAATTTTCTGTAAATAAACTCTGAATAGAAATGTGAAATAATCCTGTAGTATTAACAACAGTGTAAACTAATGAAAACAGCAGCCGGTAAAGTTGGTTGAAGTCAGCTGCCACTTTAAGAAAAGTTCTCACACACATCACACACACACACACACACACACACACACACACACACACACACACAAACACACTACTGTTCGTCGAGACGTAGAATTACCTCCAAACAGAGCAGAGCCCGAACACAACACTTTGCCTGCACCTTTTTATTAGTGTTTCCCTCTTAATACGAGGGACAGCTGCCGAAGTTAATCACAGGTTGTCTATTGAGGTAGATGCTGAAAGATTTAAAAATGAACCGATTGGAGATCTTTACATCGGCTATCAGACACTTGAGCAAGTAACAAAATATCTAATCTAATTTCTGGTCGTCTTGCTGGCTTGTCTTCTTGTACTGTCTTGTACCTCTGTGTCACCTACATTTAGTAAAGCAGTAGCCGATCACTGACTTGTTTTTAAAATGGTTAAACATCTTCATACCTCTGTGATTGCTTATCTGAGTGTTTAATTTATTCAGCTTCTGTTTTACACTTTTTTTTTTAATATCTTAAGTTTGTGAAGTCTCCTCTCAGTCTTCATATCGTATCTGCCAGATAAGCCGCAGTGAAAATAGCTTTCAGTTTCATTCTCCAACCTCAAGTCTCGAGTGAGAATTAATGATCAGCGTCTTTTAATCCGTCTCCTCCAGTTTTGATGGGTGTGTCTCGATTGTAAAAAGGTCACCGTGAGATATTCGGCGTTACTTAAACCCGATAGTTTTAAATCGTAGTAACAGAGGAAGAAAGAAAACATCCAGAGTTATCATAACTTTTATTTTGGGGGACTATTTTTAGAAAGGTTGCATCAGACCTGTTGTTCCCTCTGGGCTAATAGTTTAGTGCTCAGCCTGTCACCATCCATCAGACAGACCAAGCAATATCTTGTTGCAGTCATCAGTCATTGCTGCACTTTGTCCTCAGAGGTTTGAGGTGGTAGAAATGGGTCAGCGTCGGCTTTATTGGAAGATTTTTACGAGGTGCAGTGCATCGTTTTCTTTGATTTGATTACCCCATGTTCAGAGACAGTTTAGAAAATGCTTAATTTTAACAGTTAACGGTTGACTTTCAACATAATCTGGTGTTTCATCTGCACGATTTACTCACATTTTAATAATATTTGAAATAAAAAGAGGGTTGTTTTCTGTTTTTGGTACCTTGGAAATGCTTGAATTTTACTCTTCTACGAACCCTGTCAATGTTATTAATAGTGAGTGACAACTTTAATTAATTATCCCCCCAAAAGTGAATGTAAATTAACATATTAACGATCTATCCGTGGCTGCTTACCTCTGGGAATTAAAACAGTACAACGAGAATGTGAAGGACTGTGGATTTCCATAAGCTGTTTAAACTTCAGCAGCCAAACTGTTGCATTTTACATGAAAGACTGCGATTCCTTTAATGTACATCCAGGACAAACATTCATAAATGTGCCTTGAAACCATATAAAAAATATTATAATTATAGCTTAAGAGCCTCTAACTATCTCTGGTAAAATTAGACTGTTTTTGAAAGGTAACCCTGGCAGTTGTTGTCTGTACCTCCATGGTTAAAACACCTTTTTACACCTCACAGCTCACGTCTTCATGACGACATTATGCTTCCTTTGCATCACCCAAAGCATGCTGGGAACTTCACTGCCAAAAACTGAGAACATATTAATGAGAAAAACAGCATTTATTCTTTGTATTATAGCCTAACAGTACATTTATTGATCCAGCATCAACACTGACAGATATTTTCTGTTTATTTAAAAAAAACAGCAACAGTAGAACAAAGTTTCAAATGAACAACACTATAAAGAGTCCTATAACCTCTATAGTAACACTGACATACCGAATAATGTCATTTTTTTTTGACTACCCAAACTTATCCTGGGAAGAAAAGCTATGAAATGTGTGCCAAAAGTCTCAAATTCAGAGTAAAAATGCAGTAAAAACACCCTAGGGTTCGAAGCGCTAAGGTGATTATTATGCCTGCGTTGACCTCCCTGCGTAGGTAATCCGGCGTGCTATCCCCACAGACTCCTCAGTTCACTTTTTTTTTTTTTTTTTTTACAGCCTGTACGGCTCATGATTCTGCCGGGGTGCTACACAACCCCGCAGGTTTGATTGATGGTAGCACATGTGACACTTCTGCAACGACTGTCAGGGCTAAATGCGGTCACCGTGGTGGGATGTTGCACCAGCCCTCAAGCCAAATACTGGTAAATTCTGGTTGTGACGGGTAAACCTGCCCCCCCCCCCTCTCCCATTCCTCCCACCAGCCACTTAACCAACTGTCGTTTTTAAGATTTCTGGTTCTTTTCCAGGAAAAAGACACGGCTGGTTAGACTGAAGGTGGGTGGTGAGTTGTAGTAGCTGTTCAAGCTAGATTAAAAACATAAGTTTTCTTCTTCGTCGCCCCAGCGGTGTCATGCTGTCTCCCTGAACAGTGTTTGTGCCACTGCTCTGGCGCGAGTGTCTGGGTGGCTGGTTTTCCGTGG